AGTAAGTAGTAAGTAGTAGTAGTAGTCGTCGTCGTCGTCGTCGTCGTCGTAGTAGTAGTAGTAGTAGTAGTAGTAGGCCCAGCAGTAGTAGTAAGTACAAGAAGTAGTAGTCGTAGTGGTAGTGGTAGCAGTAGCAACAGCAGTAGCAGTAGCAGTAGCAGTAGCAGTAGAAGTAGCAGTAGCAGTAGCAGTAGCAGTAGCAGTAGCAGTAGCAGCAGCAGTCATCGTCGTCGTCGTAGTCGTAGCAACAGCTGTTGCAGTGGTGCACCCCAAGCCTTAGTCGTGACATCACAGAGCATTTAGGCCCTCAGCCCCGAAACTCCATTGCCAACTAGAAATAGTAACAGTGCGAATAACCGTCATGATAAGAATCATAGTAACACAAAAACACGCAAGATCACTTATAATACTAGCAATATTACGCCTTCCAGCTCAGCCAGGTCGAAGTCCCCAAGGACGGTAAGCCGGAAGACTTTCAGGAAGGTGTTGAACACATAGTTGTCCAGCCAACGCGCCTTCCGTGGTCGGGGGTCTTTCGCTGAAACCGCAACCCTAAACCCCCCCCAAACCCCTAAACCGTAAACCGCGGGGGGCCAGGATGATGGCTGTGCTCATCTCTGCTCAAAGGATCCGAGTTCCGAGTTGAAGACGGACATAGGGCTTAGGGTCTCCAGTCTCGCTTTCGCACCTTGTCGCCAACGTTCTCCTCAATCGGAAAGACATAATAAGCATGAAATGCAGCAAAGATCATGAAGCCGAGGAAGAATAAGAAGAACCTGAATTTGTGAAGCAGTGACGGTGACAACCCCAAAAACCTGCACTGAACGTGTCAATCTCTCAACATTAAAACCCCACGCCCTAAATCCCTAAAGGCCCTAAACCCTACTACCCCCAAGCCGCCACCCCCCCGACACCCGAATTGAAGGGAACGTTCACGTTAAACTTGAACGACTCCCTGTTTGCCAGAGTACTGCCCGGAACAGCCGGGGTTTCGGGCTTAGGGTTGCGTGATCCTAAACCCTGGACGGTGAACCCTAAACCCCCAAATCCTAAATCCTAAACCGTGAGTTCAGGGGTGTAGGGTTTTGGGCTTGGGTCCTCCTGTGGTTCTAGTTTTCTGATTAAGCGTGTGACACCGACCTCATTAGGGTTACGGTTTAGGGGTTTAGGGTTTAGAGTGGTGGACAAGGTGCAGCGACGAAGCACCCCACGAAAACCAGGTCAGGCAGTCAACCAAGCAATCAGTTCATCCTTCAACCACTATATACATATGTACCCAGCGAGCTAAATATGTTTGAAGTCTCCACCACAGTAGCGAATCGATGAACAACACATGCAAAGTGTGCACCAAAATGAAAAAAAGAAATAACAACTAAGCACATATAAATACAATACACAGTATAAACAGAAAAAAACGTCATAGAAGTCCGTTCAGGCAATGTCTGACCTTTACGCGCAAAAACCCAAAGATCTTCGGCAACACGGTTCGCTCATCAGCTGCAAGAAGGTCTACCAACACGAGTGTTTTGGAATCGAGACGGTTTAGGGTTTAACCCCAAGCTGAAAACTTGTGCCGTAAGGAACAGGGAGGCAGGCTGGCAAACGGCAATCACCACTGGCACCATGTTGCGGCCAACCTCGTCCAAGGATTCAGAAGTCTTGAGCCGTGTGTTTGCATCGTTTTTGCTTCATTCCTTTCGCTCTTTTTCCCTGAGGCGGAGGGTTTAGCGTTAGGATTGTTGAAAGGCAGCTTGCAGCTGCAATGCAGCTTCAGACCAAAATGATGTGGTTAGTACTGCTGTTCCCGTTGCCACTGGTGATTTTGGTGCTGGTGCTCTTCTATCTTCTTGTAGTCTAAGAGCACCAGTTGAATGTTACGTATCTTTGAAACGCACGATCCCCGGTGAAGTTGGTTCTTCTCCGTCTGGGGTCCGGTGATGCACGATGCAGCCTGAAGGCGAACTGGGGCGCCTGGTTTCAGAGTTTGAGTTCTATTCTGGCCGAGCAGTTACCAAGCTTCAATGCCCATCGGAGATGATTGCAGATTGGCTAGTCACGCGCAGCAACACCTTCAAGTACATGTGGGGTCATTGTCATGACGTTGGACTCCCGTCTCCAGCAACCCCTTGTCATTGCTTGCACTGGTACAGGGCCTTACAGTCTAACATATCCCACAACACGAACTTAGTGATTCGTGCCTCAAACCCCACCCCCTAAACCTTGTAAGCCTTACATCACCAAACAGTCGAAATCTCAAAGCTCCTTCAAAGTCTACTCAACCCTACTGATCTCCCATCTTGACTGAAAATCCCAAAGCTTCGGTGCACAGCTCTTCCGACCCCGTCTCAAACGAGGACTTGTAATAAGAATCAAGCTTGCTATGCTCGATGAGGTCTATATTACGGTCCCTTGGTTCTGAAGCTTCTAATTTCGTGTAGAATTCAGATGGGAATCCCCGAACCCTAAACCCTTAACCCTAAACTTGACACAACATGCTTCTGTCCCTTGTCCCCGGACCTCGGTGGCGCACGTCGACCCACAGTGCCAGCCCGCCTCCCCATTCCTCAAGACCATCGCTGGTCTTTGCGTTTCGGGGAGTCTTCGACGTGCCAGGCCGGTGGCGGTGGGCGGACGAAACCACCTGAAATGCTTCCAAGCCCAAGGCATCAGGCCTTGAGGCCCCGGAAAGCCGTCTTGCCCGCCCTACCCTGTTCTGGCGCGTCGTTCTCGTAGCTGTCTGCGAATGACCGAATCCCCAGAACGAGTTGGCGTGCTTGTGGGATGGCCCTGGACGGTCAGGCCATTGCTGCAACTTCACAAGGCTTCGACTTGTTTGTGTTGCAGATCTTTCACGCTGAGTGGAAAACCGCTGAACCCACACCCCTGACCCCTAAAGTCCTTATACCCAAACCCCAAGCCCCTAACCCGTACACCCTCGATCCAAAGTTGCTCCTAAACCAAACTACCCTAAATGCGTAATCTCCTAACCCCTAAACTCCTAAACCAAACGCTGAGCCCTAAACCCCAAATCCCCCCAAAATCCCCAAACCCCTAAACCTCCCAAACCGTCTGCCTGCTCCACCTGCAGGAAGCTTGTGGACAAGATCGTCCATCGTATGAGGACCAGGCTCCTGGTCCGGCTCTACGGGTTCCTGTAAGGTTTTACTTGGGCTTTTTGGCCTTTTCCTTACATAAAATAGATTTCGCCTGTCATTTGCTTTCCTTCAATCCTGCCTCGTCAAACAAAAAACCTGCGGTGGCGCACTTAGGCGCAAGCCTTCTAAAATTTAGTTTTTGTTTCCAGGGTTTAGGGTTCCTTTAAGGGTTCTTTCAAGGCATCCAGAAGCACCTGTAAGCGTTCAGGGTTTAAGGGCTCTTTCCAGGCAAAACATAAGATTTTCTTTGCCTAAACCCTAAACCCTGAACCCTAAACCCTAAACCCTTCGGCCGTCTAAGCTGCCTTGGGGCTTTAGCATTGTAGGCTTTAGGGGTTCTATAAAGTTCCGGACTTTCAGATTCAGTGTTTTGTTTGCTTGTGGTGCTTGTCGAGTTTTAGGAGAATAAGAGTTCAAGGTGCACAGGTTGGGGACCGTAGGGTTGCATAAGCCCAGTTTAGGCTTTCAAGGATAATTGGGAACTAGAAATTTTGTTGAAGTACCCTTGTCGGGGTTGCACGTATTTATGAGTTTTCTTCAGTTTGTTACAAGTTCGCGGACAACATGACACCAGCAGTGTCCACCGCGACCAATGTTGCATGGTACTGATTGCAACACGAAGAGTCTAGTCCCAACCGCTGCCAAACTCATCAACACCCGATGAAGCCCTGGTTCCGAACCCTATGCAACCCCCTCTCAAGCACTGGACCATTACAAACCGAACGGCGGGACAAAACAAAAAAGGGTGCAGATCTTCGGGTGAGCCAGAGATGAAGCTGATGAGGGTATCGAAGGAACGGAAAATCTTTGAACCGAAACAAGAGAACAGGGGGTTCAGGGCTTTGGGTTGGGGCTGGTGGGTTTAGAAAGCAATGCGAGGCCCTTGCAGCCATACCCATGAATACTGATGCTACAAGCTTTGTACCCTATGCCGTATGCACCATGATCTTGCAGCACTACACCCCAAATCCTATTATGCAAGACTGGTCCCGATGTTGCACAACTACCGGCAGGTTCAGTGGACGTACTAAGCAGGTGATGAAACAAGGTTCTGACTCAAGCAGTACTGTACTGCCAAACAGTTGACACATCATCTACTTGCTAAGCCCCCCCATAAACCCTCAACCCTAAACCCTAAACCCTGAGCTCAAAGAAAGACGAGCTGCGACATCGTAGCCGGGTTCTCCCTGAAGAACTTGAAAGAATCTGAGGAGACGGGCTCTTAAATCTTCGGTCTGAAGGGTTTAGGGTTTAGGGTTTAGGGTTTAGGGTTTAGGGTTTTTTTTTTAGGGTTTAGGGTTGAGGGTTTAGTATAGGCCACTGAATAATTAGAATAGGGCTTTGGGGCCCATTATATTATAATGAAAATAAGGAGCCCCCAAAATAGTGTAGGTATTTGTGTAGGCCCCTACAGGGGTTCAGGGTTCAGGCGTTCAAAAGACTTTGGCTTCCGGGCTTGCTAGTATCTTTCAAAGGTTATAGAACACAGTGCCGAGGATTCAGCAAAGTAAGCCCTAAACTCTAAACCCTAAAAGTTCAAACCGCTTCTAAGCTGTGAAGGAGATCTGAGACCCCGAACCCCGGGCAAGGCCTCAACATCCAGTCGTGGGCATAATCATTCCTTGCATCATCCTTATCATCGCCGTCATTCCACTGCCAAACCCATCGTCATCGTCATCGTCATAATCGTCATCATCATCATCATCATCATCGTCATCATCATCATCATCATCATCATCATCATCATCATGGTTAGCATCATCAGCAGAATCCGCATGCCCATCATGGCCAAAACCATTGCATATTCGTGGTCATGAAAATCGTTACCAAGATCTACTTGGAACCCCAAACCCTCAACCCTACGCCCTAAACCCCTAAACCCGATTTTTTTCGCCTCGGCTATGACCCCCGGAATCCTAAGCTGCGGGATGAACGAAAAGCCTTGAAACCGTGAAACCCCAAAGCTGTAAGCACAAGAGCCATACACCTCTAAGGGTTTAGGGCTCCTTTAACGGTCTAGGGCTTCAGGGTTTAGGCCTCCTTTAAGGGTATTTCGGGTTCCTATGTTTAGGGGGTTGAGGGCTCCTTTAAGGGTTTGGGGCTTCAGGGTTTAGGCTCCGTTTAGGATTCCTGTATGAGGTGCTATTGACAAGTCTTCAGGCCATGATGATAAGATTTTGTGAACCCCCTAGCAAAAAACAAAGCTTAAACGGTTTACTAAACGCACAGTGTTGTAAGAACATGACAGCCCCCCCCTCACCCAACAGTTGCTGCCTATTCGGCTACTCTGAACCCCAAACCAAAAAAGATTAACAGGGTTACCTACTATCGTGGGGCATCAAAAGTCAGACGAGGGTCTGGGAGTACATGGTAGTACAAGGGCTTCGGGTTTAGGGACTTGGAGTATAGGAGAGTAAATTTGCTATTAGCGCGAGAGGACATTCGCGATTATTATCGCTCACTACTCAGACCCCTTTTGCGTCCTACAAAGATCAAGGAGAGGAGGCACGTTCGATCGAATCTTGGATATTGTCCACATCCCAATGTCCCTGTCGAGGGCGGGGGTTTAGGATTTAGGTTCTTCAAGACGGACGTAGTGTCTTTGGGTCTAGCTACGGTCTACGGCCTCAAGATGTCGCGTTCAGGGCTTGCAGCTTAGAGTTCAGTGTCAGGGTTCAGGGGGGCGAGGGTGTCAAAAGTAGCAATTTGCGGGCAGATTGGGTGACGGGTTAGATTTACCTGGGCATCTTGAACTACGGTCTGAGTAGTTTCACGATGGGAGGGATTGATCGCAAATAGGGGCCTTCATAATTGACTACAGTTTTCGGGTGTACTACACCGTAGATGGGTAGTCACGCTATCCAGATTATGGTGCATCGATCCGAAATTTTAAGTTGAAAATTTCGGTGATAGGATCGTGTGCTTAGGCTTTACAGCAGCTGAAGCTTTTTGAAGTTCCATGCGCCTTCCAGATAAACTTCACGCTGACCCAGATCGAGAATAACTCGGCTGCAACTGTCAACACATTCCTCGGTCATTCTTCGGACAATTTTGGGCTTTGGGGTAGTGCTCACATCCTTACGACTCTTCTTCTTAGATGTACGTGCTCATCAAGAGGTAATATGGCGGACTTAATTTTTTTTTTTTTTTTGGGGGG